TCTCCAGGAATGCTCTGACCTAGCGAGACGGTCTGCTAGGCAGTTTGTGGCGTGGCTGCATCTTTGAATCTCGGTGATGTTGGAAAATCTTGGGTTTCGGCTTGAGTTCAAAGATATATATATGGGCCTGGCGTAGATAAACTGGCTTCAGACTTAGATTGAGGAAGGAGTTTGCCGATCAAGATTCATGACCATGACGTTACATTTACAAGTGTTTCAGAGCCAACCAATCTTCAATTTTTAAATGCTAGTACCCATTCCAGGGTTCCCTCAAAGTCACAAGTTCGACGACTTGTCAATTCCACAGCCGCCAAAATGATCGCTTCTTATACCAGAATGGATTCTTAAATATATAAATGTTGGCAAAGGCATGGTTGTGGTATTATGAATGCATCCTCTTTTGTTTCTGTCGCTAGCCAATGGCTTTGTGACATGTTCTAACGGCGGCCAGAGCCAGGGGCAGTCGTGTAACCACTCATTGGTAGAGCATAGGCATATACCCACGTCCAGTCAGAATGTAAACGTAAAAATGATGTATATCATAGTTTCGGTCTGCGAAAAAGGACGGCCTGACGGGTTGGAAATATCGGATAGGGCGCAGATAGCTGAAGCCCCTGCTGGCAGGAGGTTGGTGATGCTATTCATTGAAGCTATCATAGATTCTAATCTCATTTGAATATCATTCAGCCTCGGTCCTTAGGCGGAGAAAAAAGAAATCGAGTGGAGGGGAAGATTCCAACCCCAATATGATTACATATCGTCTCTGTGTAGAATTGGAATGAGAGTTGTAACTATACGAGAGAAATGAGGCGTATATACTTCATGTTTGGCTTGTAATGCACAATTCCAAATATCGGGATACATGGGGATAGCTCATCTTCATCGTCACTCCTTGAATATATTTTGAATATATTCTCGAGTGGTCAGAATAGAAAGGACCTAATAGTACTATATACAAAGCCCTGTGATCGAACTAGTGCTTGGACAGCTCCTTCAACCAAACCCACAATACGGTGGTACACCACTGTGACTAGAGGTGGGAACAGCATCGGCTTTGTTTATTTCACCGCATCCAGCTAGCAACGTGATAAAGGAAATAAAATACTTCGCTTTTCAAGAGAAATAGGACAGTGGTACATGCTGGAGATTACCAATGCGATGATAAACTAGACAGAACAGTGCCGATACATCGTCAACTCATACAATCAGCCCTAATACTATCTCCATGCCGTTGTAGGTGAACCTACCGGGGAGAACAGTGAGGGATATGACGAAGCAGTAATCGTTCAAAGAGGCCAAGCTGAAAGAAAATAACAGCGTATATTCACGCCCTGACTCTGCTTCACGGGAGTGGAAGCAATGATCAGATCATTTCTGATGCTGTAGAAGAAAGTGTAGCTCAAAAAGAATATCGTCACGAGTTCTACTCCGGTTGATTATCTCATCTATTGCCCGGATGGTCTAGTGGTATGATTCTCCGTTTGGGTTTCCATCTCAAATTCGGAGAGGCCGCGTGTTCGAATCGCGCTTCGGGCCGTCATCTTTTTTTGTTTTTGTTTCATTAAGCAATATCTCTCTCTAATTTTTCACCCTCTGCAATCCCACTACATTACTGACCCTTTTAGCTCGAGTTCTAAGCTATTATGATCTAGCTCCAGAATACGGTGAGGTGTCTACGGGCTACTGCCTACTCCGTACACGGCGAAGCGTCCGGCAACCTGCAGCGAGTGAACGGAAATTTCCCCAGTCAGCACAGATCTGCGGGGAAAGCTTTCAAATTACGTACAAGTCTAGCTGTTGTCAAAAGCAAGTGGTTCAGGCTATATTCCAGAATACATAGCCAGCCAGTCTTTCCACATTCCGTGTCTCACTCGCCAATAAAAGGGAGTGGTCCGAGGCCATCGTGGACTAACCATACATAGTATTAACCTGCATGTTTCAATGTGATATATGACAATGCAACCAGTCGTGTGCCGCTGTACATGCGGAGCTCACCTTGCGCTTTCTTGGCCAAGGAAAAACCCCTTCATTCTGGTCATGGGTTCCAAATCTGGACCTTGGCCGGCGTTGGAGACCAGGGGGGAATTCCAAACCACGGGAATTTAAACCCAATTCTCCTGTGCGGGGATTATAAAGGGTGTGCCTGCCTGCCGACCTAGCAGTAAACATTGAGCGACCACCCACAGCAAACGGCGTGATGCAGACACTTTTTCTCTCTGCTCTGGCCTTCAGTGTCGCAGCCGATGCCTATGGCTCAGGAGCTGCCGGCTGGGACGCGGCTTATTCAAAGGCCCGGGCGGTCCTTCCCAAGCTGAATCAGACCGAAAAAGTCGGGATTGCCACTGGCGTCGGTTGGGAAGGAGGGCCCTGCGTGGGCAACACTTATCCCGCCAGCTCGATCAACTATCCCTCTTTATGTCTACAGGACTCACCCTTGGGAATTCGCTTTGCCAATCCGGTCACAGCTTTCCCCGCCGGGATCAACGCCGGAGCAACTTGGGACCGTAGTCTCCTGTACGCGCGCGGTGCTGCCATGGGCGAGGAAGCCAAAGGTTTGGGTGTGCACGTCCAGCTAGGACCAGTCGCTGGGCCTCTAGGAAAAAATCCCAATGGCGGTAGGAACTGGGAAGGGTTCTCGGTCGACCCGTATCTCAGCGGAGTTGCCATGGAAGAGACAATCCAGGGTATGCAAGATTCGGGCGTTCAGGCCTGCGCCAAGGTACGCTGGCTTCCACTCTGTTCATATTCTGTGCGTTCTGACCATGGTAAAGCACTGGCTTGGGAACGAGCAAGAGCACAACCGCGATACAATGAGCTCTAACATCGGCGACCGCGCGACGCATGAGTTGTATGTATGGCCGTTCATGAACGCAGTTCGGGCAAATGTCGCATCCGTCATGTGCTCCTATAACAAATTGAACGAGACTTGGGCATGTGAGAGTGATGCTATCCTGAACGATCTAATGAAGGACGAGCTAGGTTTTTCTGGCTACATTATGACCGACTGGAATGCGCAGCACACTGGTGTCAACAGTGCTTTGGCTGGACTCGACATGACCATGCCTGGCAGTGATTTTAATAGCCCGCCCGGCAGCATATTCTGGGGACCGAATCTCGTGCAGGCCGTTGCTAATGGTTCTGTGCCTCAGGCGCGTGTGGATGACATGGCAACGCGTATCCTGGCGGCTTGGTATCTTCTTGGTCAGGATCAAGGCTACCCCGAGGTGACTTTCAGCTCTTGGAATGGCGGAAAAGCCACTGTCGATGTAACAGGAGACCATGCCACTGTCGCCCGCACCGTGGCCCGTGATTCAATTGTTCTACTGAAGAATCAGGAACATGCTCTGCCTCTCCGGCAACTTAAAAGCCTGGCCATCATTGGGCAAGATGCCATCGTCAACTCCAATGGTCCCAATGCATGTGGAGACCGCGGCTGCAACAACGGCACGCTAGCTATGGGTTGGGGCAGTGGCACATCGGAGTTTCCTGTAAGCAAGCCAATGCCGGCAGATCAACCCCGAATCTGATAAACTGACAATACCGCTCTAGTACCTCGTTGGTCCTCTTGACGCAATGCAAGTTCAGGCCAGAAAGGACGGTACGAACATTATCGAGAGTACGACCGACAACACTACGGCTGCTGCCTCCGCTGCTGCAGCGGCGGAGACTGCTGTGGTTTTCATTAACGCAGACAGCGGTGAAGGGTGAGTCGGACTTGTCACCGCACCTATGATGTATTGCAACTAACACCGTGCATTGCAGTTACATTACAGTGGAGGGCAACGTTGGTGACAGGAACAATCTCGATCCCTGGCACAACGGAAACGAGCTTGTCAAGTCCGTCGCAGCAGTGAACAGCAACGTCATCGTAGTCGTGCATAGTGTGGGGCCCATTATCCTGGAGACCATCCTAGCGCAACCCTCAGTGAAAGCAGTTGTCTGGGCCGGACTACCGGGCCAGGAAAGCGGAAATGCCTTGGTTGACGTGCTCTATGGCAGCACCTCTCCAAGCGGCAAGCTTCCTTACACGATTGCCAAGCAGTTTTCAGACTACGGGGCCGGCTGGAACAGTGCGCTCGATGACAATTACGTTGAAGATTTGTTCATTGACTACCGCCACTTTGACAAGAACGGCATCGACCCGCGCTACGAGTTTGGCTATGGCTTATCGTATACTAATTATAGTTATACTGGACTTGTGGTTAGCATTGCTGCCACAGTCGGGGCATCAAATGGACGAATTGTCCCTGGCGGGGCGGAGGAACTTTTCGAGTCGGTCGGCACTATCTCTGTCGTTGTCGAAAACGCTGGTGAGGTAGCTGGTGCTGAGGTTGTTCAGCTCTATCTTGGCCTGCCGGACTCCGCCCCAAGTACTCCCCCCAAGCAGCTGCGAGGGTTCCATAAGTTGAATCTCCAGCCGGGAGAGCCGGGAACAGCTACTTTCGAGCTCACTCGGCGAGACTTGAGCTACTGGGAAGTGCAGACACAAAAGTGGGTTGTACCTAGTGGTACCTTCACTGTCTACGTTGGAAGCTCCAGTCGAGATATTCGTGAGGATGGAAAGTTCACTGTCACCTAGTGGTATTCTCATGCTTTGGCTTGTATATATCTCTTATTCGGAAACGACTTGTCTCATGATGAATCCTGCAACTAAACCCACGACTCAATGAATCGACAGTATGTAGATCCCGACTTGCTTCTTTGTTAAGGTTCGTAAGTCTTTATCCAATGAATGACCCTATCCCTAAGACACGTTGCTGCGGGGTACAAAGAATGAAGAAATGGGCTTTGTAACTACTCCCTTTTATTCTCAATGATCATAGTATTAAGCAATTTATTCAAATGTATATAGTGACGACAGGTATAAATAACATGCTAGTACTTCTCGAAGTAGCAAACCATCATCATCAACACCTCGATCCATCTCAGCGACTAACGTATACAGATCCACCTGTCCTACTCCATCTCAACTATTTACCCACCATCCATCTCCAAGAACAATGGCTTGGTGGAACAGCTCTACACCCGGCTGGGTCGAAAATCTCGTACCGACCTACACACAAGAAATCTACAAATTCCGACTCGAACTCGAAGGCGAGGTTCAAATTTTAGTCCACCACCCAGGCCATCAGCATATAGTAAGCCAGAGACTTACCATGACCGCTAGATCCCTGCTCAAGATCAAGACACTGGCGTCTGATATCTCGGTGTATTTCCCGGATCATCCATTCGTCACGCGCAAACGCCTTGGTTTCTTCCAGACTACTTTCCCCCGACTTTGCGATTTTATCGAGCGGACTTTGATTGAGTTGAGTAGAACCCTGATTCATGATCCGAAGAGTGAGATTTCTATTGCTTGGCAGATTCAGGATATACTGGATTCTGTATAGTTTGGGTGTTTAAGTTTGTTTCAGCAAATTTCTCCATGGTAGATTTGATTTTATTCGGTCAGTTTAGACTACTGGACTATTCAGCTTAGATGATCGTATATATGCTTGCTGTTAAGTCTTTTACTAGCCTCATACATCATGGTATATATTTTAAGCCTCGGCAAGAAGTTTTCATAACGATTGTCAATTCAATTCAATACTATCTCTAGATTTCGCCTGGAATAATCGCTAGCTAAGACTAACGGCGTGTTTGAACAATTTGATTCGTATTTTTTTCATTGATTTATAATCACCTTTCAAGCTTGGAATGAGAGTGCAAGGAGGCTGGGAGTTTGCGCTGTCAACCAGCCCAGTACAAGTATGCGACAGCGAAAAGCCTCAAGACTTGGATTAGACTTGAAATCTGTTTGAGCAATTTTAGTATACCAGAATATAGTGATTTTTAGTGTGTTGTTGTTATAAACTTACCTGGGGACTGAGGCTTCAGAAATGCCGTGGATGATTATTTCTACAAGTCTAACAACTATTCTCGATCATATACAATTAGAAATACCTCAAGTGGAATGTCAGTAGTAGGATTCCTCATAATAACGATGTCCTTCGCATACAAGGACAAGACCTCGTGTGAGTCCAAGCTATCTTAATCCCAAGCTACGCCGAAACGATTAGCATGCATTTCCACTCTGGTCAATTGGGATTCTTACTTCCAATTATATCTGCCTGTCTGTTTGCTTCTGTCGAATCTAAATCTTCGGAACATCCAAGACCAATCTTCACATTTGACCAGCTCTGGAAACTCGAGAAGGGCTTCTGGGATTCCTTTCTCTACCCTGCAAATCTCAAACAGACGCAAGGCAATGCATCGACTATTTTCGCATCAGACGTGAGTTTCTCCAGTTTCTCCCTCTGATAATAATCTGACACAATACAGGTGCAAGGTCGTGTCGACATCACCCGCACCTTCGACGGCGACGAGCTAAACCGCGAATACATCTTCGGCCTATTCGCCGATCCAGAGCACGTCAGTCTCATCGGTGTCCCGATCGCATATAACATCACTCAATTTACTGCCAATGATAACATCACATCTGCGACAACGGTCGTCACCTTCAACGCAACAAGTTTCGGCGTCCTTATCCCAGTGACGATCGACACATGGATCGAGTTCAACGCCGACGGCAAGATCGCGCAGTACGACGCAACATTTCGCTGGTTCGAGTACCTGCTGGACTTCTTAGTCGAAGGAGTCGCGGCAAAAATAAACGCGACTGAGCCCGACCAGGCTGTTGCCTATGTTGCTGATTTGCTAGCCACTGCGATCTGTGATACACATGAGCAGCATTGCACGGGTTCGAACCAGCAGTATACAGACACCGCAAGTTGTTATGACTTTTTGACCAAGACTGTGCGATTTGGAAAGGCCTACGAGCTGGGTCGTAATACATTGCTGTGCCGCGAGGTCCATGAGCATATGGTGCAGTACCGGCCCGACGTGCACTGTTCACATATCGGTCCTGGTGGCGGTGGATACTGTGTTGACGATATGGACTACATGCAGACTGTACTACAGAGATACTTCAATGACTCTTGGATTCCGTTTGGGTATGGGACAGATCAGAATATCTGGCTCGCCGACTGATGGGAGTGGCCTGCTGGTAAATGTGGGGGAAATGATATTCAAATCGCGTCTACAAACCCAATATGGTGAATCAACCGAGATGGACTGCGATAACAATTATGTCACCCTTCAGGTCTGCAGTAAGCCATGATCCCGTGTCACAAGCAAAATGAACTCAAGGTTTTCGGAAACATGTATCGCTTTTACAGCCCCTTGATGATAAGGCATAAAACTCCTAGCTCATCCTCAGTCTAACGTGGCACTGCACTACGCGGAGTTGTATCGAACAAGGGGCTGTTTACTGATCTGCAGATCTGCAGCTCGGAGCTTTATGTGTGATATCATAGGATATACATCGGCACAAGTCTCCGACGTCTCCATCCTCATTTGGCGGCGATCATGTACATTCCAATCCCTTCGCACGTCCGTTTCTAGCCGTGTTTGATGCTGCCCCAGCTTACAATCCTCCGAGGGAGCTCTCTATTCCCCACGCAAAGCACGTCAGCGTCGGCCTTTTAAAAACGTTGTTTTGTTTAAAGCTTCAAAGTAGGGGTTGGGTTCAATATCATACTCCAGCAAGTCACATTCACCAGTGCGTTATCATAAGTACATACACTACATCGGGATCATCTGCCCAGCCCGATTGCAAAATCAGCGATGTGGTTACTCATAAGCTACCACCCGTGTTTGAGGTAGATACACAAGTGTATAATTCCCGCTCGGCCGTTGAAGTTGCATGCCAGCCTTATTAGTCTACGTACGGAAATTCCTTCCGTCACCTGGCTGATCTTTACCAAGCGTTCTCGCCATCCCTTCGAACGCTAGACCTCCTTGACATGATCAAACAATGTGACCATAACTTATGGCTTAATTTAGATGCAGTTAAAATGGACACATTCACCGTTAGAACTTGCTTTTTTGTCTTTAACGTCCCTGTCTATCCAGACCACAGAATTCAACATCACCAATATGGAGAGAAGACGCCCTTCATGCAGCGACTCATTGCCTCGCAGTGAAGCACAGATACGCTTGTGCCCCGAGAAATTCGACGAATCGTCCACCGACGATGGACAAAAGTTACCACCTGTCGACGGAGGTTTCCACGCATGGATGTTCCTGATGGCTTGTGTAATGTTGGAGGCTTTGATATGGGGTAAGTCAGCTCGCACGACCCAACCAGATGACACTGTCAACTAACATGAGCAGGGTTTGCTTTTGCATTCGGAGTCTTCCAGAAATACTATCACGCCCATGAAGCCTTCCAGGACTCTAATATGGTAGCTGTTGTTGGCACATGTGCTACAGTGAGATCACCAACTGCTTACAACGGTCTACGCTAACACCATCGACAGGGAATATCCTATTTGAGCTGTCCACTAGTCATTGTTGCTATGATCCTTCTTCCTCAATGGGGACGCTGGTTCTCATCTATAGGAGTGATCATAATGTGTCTTTCCCTAGCACTGGGTTCATTTTCTTCCAATATCACTCACCTAGTCCTCTCCCAAGGAGTCGGCTTCGGCATCGGCGGGTGTATAGCATACAGTCCATCGATCCTGTACATGGACGAATGGTTCGTCCACCGACGAGGACTCGCGTTCGGCATAACCTGGGCTGGCTCAGGGGTATCCGGAATCATATTCCCCATTGGGTTAGAGAAGCTATTGAATCGCTACGGATTCGAAACGACTCTTAGGGTCATCTCCGTGGTGGTATTCGTTCTCGCTGCGCCTTTCATATACTTCCACAAACCCCGGCTTCCAGTCAGAAAAACAGTCGACTATCAACGTCTGAACTTCCGCTTCCTTACCAGCAGGATATTTTGCGTCTACCAACTAGGCAACATCATGGAGGCACTGGGGTTCTTCTTGCCTGGAATTTATCTGCCGACTTATGCCAGAAGCATCGGCGCCTCGGATTTTCTCTCCTCGCTGACCATCACGCTTTTGAATCTGGCGTCGGTTTTCGGAAGTGTTACTATGGGCCATCTGGCGGATCGATACCATGCTGTCACCTGCATTACCATCTCGACTGTCGGCAGTACATTGGCTGTATTTTTCCTCTGGGGATTTGCGACAACCCTGCCCACATTGTTCGTCTTTTCTATCGCATACGGCTTATTTGCAGGCTGTTACTCGGCGACGTGGTCGGGGATAACTCACGAGGTCCGACGGATCGACCCGTCCGCCGACGCAACCATCATCTTCTCGGTTATTGCCTTTGGACGAGGAATTGGAAATGTCGTCAGCGGCCCCTTGAGCGAGGCTATACTCGAGGTAGATCCGTGGAAGGGCTCCGCAGCAGCGGGCTATGGTAGTGGATATGGGCTGATCATCTTGTGCACGGGGATCAGCTGCTTGTTGAGCGGAGTATGTATAGTGGCGCATTATATGAGATGTATATAGGCGAGTCTCGTTGCACATTTATGCTGATGATTAACGTCTGCTTTTGGTGGGACAAAGGATGGTTAAGATCGCTACATATGCTACTGTTTCGAACTGATGGGCTGCCAGTCTACCAGTTATTTTCTTTTCCCTTCGAGCATGACCCCTCTATGTTCAATTCCAATTTATTTTATGCATAGCTCGATTTATACAAATCTCGGAAAGACTTGGGATTTCCCTGAAAAGTTAAATTGCGATATTTATAGCGGTCCGCCAGCATCCGGGTGCGAAGGAGTATATAATTCCACTCGCCACCATGATTGCTAGACATTTCCATGCAGATATTCAAAGATCCTAGTAGTGGTATGTCGTAGATTTAAGATCAAAACTAGTCATGTAAGCTTTAATTCTATGCAACGGTCAAAGTTTTATCGACGCCATCATCCAAGTCGCCGGGGTCGACCGGGTACCCTGATGATCTCACCCACTCCATTTTGGATCTTGAATCTTCAAGCGTCGATCTCTATACTCTTTTATATCAAATTCATGGCCCAAGCTTGGCCTGCTCAGTGGTCGACGTCATCCCACAAGGCTACCGCAATATGGATTCCACCACACCCTGCTCTCACAGGTTGATATTGTGGACCATGACGCCAATCCAGAGGAAACAACCGGTTCTTCAGGAAGTATACTTCAATTAACGTACTCGGAGCCTGCCGCATGCGTTGCGGGGGCGATCATGACTCTAGAAGACTCGGAGATTGCGCGGTTTTATGGGCTATAAGGGTATTTAACTACCCATGCACGTAGCTATTCTTCTGTTCTTCACAAAACCTTACCTAGTCACTCTATAAGCTATCTCTATAAGCTACCTCTATAAGCCTCATCTTCAGAGATCAGATAACTCCAAGCGCAATGCGTCTCAACATCGTCAGCCTCCTCCTGGCCGGAGTCACTGCCACCTCGGCCGCCACTACTACTGCTGCCGCAGGCGCAGCCTCAACCTGCGTGCCCTCATCTTCTGATACTACGGTCCTTCAATTCGCCCTGGGAGTCTCCAACTTCATCGGCGGCTGGTACAACTCCACCGTGAACAGCACCTTCGGCAACACCAACAACGCCACCCTCCTAGCGTACCAGAAGATCCTCTTCGGCCTGGAGAAGGACAACACGCTATCCAGCGCTGCCATTGAGAAAGTCGGCGCCAAAGCCCCCGGCTTCACCGCGCCCCAGTGCACCTACACGTTCCCCGAGGTGAACACCACCCAGACCTGGGCACAGTGGGCTTACCGCTTCGAGGACACCGTCACTGGTGCCTTCATCGGTCTTGCCGGCTATTCCGATTCCCCCGAGGTCTCCTTCCTCCTGGCTCGTCTGGCTGCCGAGCACAGCGCGCACTCTGCTTTGATTGGCAGCCGCGTGAACTCTACCTACTTTGCCCAGAATACTACTTCGCTGGTGGCGGCTTACGGCCCGGCTCAGATCTTGTCCACTCGCAACCAGACTGGTAGCCTTGGCCAGTATCTGGGTGGATGTCTTACTGCCCCGACTAGCCCTTGTGGCACGCTCAGAATCGGACCCTTGGATGCTACTCCCTCTCCCTCGTCTTCTGGTGTGGCGAGCACTAGCTTGGCTGCTGCCAAGAAGGCCTAGAGGTCAATGGTCGGATGAAATATCAAACTTTGGATTTGATGGAATGTTTCAACATATAAGATTTTGTATTAATTTGGTCAGTTTGAGTGGAGGAATATCGCAGGACAGGATGAATATATGACATGATTAATGGATTAATTGGGAACATGTCATGACACTTTGTTCTATACATCTGGTTTAAATTCATTAATAGACCTCGGGAAATCGCTCGTTGGGTCTCGAGTTAGACGGTGAATCATGATGTCAACGACCATAAAAGGACCAATTGGATATAAACCAAGTAATTTTTGTATTGCACTCATAAAAAAGATACCTGGTTTACACCTAGAATATTTACAAAGTCGTAAAAGACCCCCTCTGCTGAAGATTCTTAATCCTCCCAAGCAAGAACTCCAACTGCCTATAAGCCGCACCAGGAGTGTACTGCGGGATCTCATGACCAGCAGTATAGACCGAGCTGAAGGTCAGACCACGCTCGGTATGGGCCGTTCCGAGAATACCGCCACCGGAATCAGCAGTCCAAGGCGTACTCCCCGCCCCGTTAGCAATATCATCGAGAGCAGTCGTATACGGCACAAACAACGGCCCGTCAGGAGGTCTCTGGAATCCCTGCGCTCCATTCCAAGTCATATTCTGGATCGTAGCGAGGGTTCCGTTGGCGAAGAGCAGGTAATCGTACCAGCCATGGCCGATGAGGACGTTATTGGTGCGCTCGATCACGCTCGGGAGGGGACCGAGTGCGCTGGGGACGGAATGGTCGCCGTTGTTGAAGATTTGGGGGCCGCAGACTGCGTAGTTTGTTGGCGGGATGTTGAGGGCTGCTTGGACGGCGGAGCTGTTGAAGTAGTTGTTGGGTCCGCCGGCTAACGAGGGGAAGCCCATTTCGTCCCAGAGGAAGGGACAGAAGTCTGTTAGGTGGTACATGTTGAAGCAGGGGTTGACATAGATTGCTGCTTTTACGATTTCGTCCCAGACGTCGCAGCCGGGCTTGTTTGGATCTGGTGCGGTCGGGAAATGCTTCGGTGGAGGGTAGGTTAGCGCTGTGTCTAAGAAATTGGTGTAGCCGCATTTGTCGGCGCGGTGGTTGATTTCTGTCATGAAGGTGTCGTTCAGTGCGAAAACGGAGGAGTAGTGGTTCAGCGCTGCCACTGCCGGGGCTATTGGACTTGGTTAGTATGGGGATTTTTATGGTGGAGTAACAACTGACCATAGATCATAACATTATCATCATTAATGGACGGGTCGTTAATCTGAATGCCCTTGAGGTTGAAATGCGTGGTATCATTGCGGTTCAACATCCCGTCTGCCAGATACGGAATGTATTGGCCAGCATAGCTCTCTCCGGTGAGATAAATCTTGTAGCCCTCCATGCTGAAGGTCTTAATGAAGCGCTCCCAGAAGTCATTGAATTGATTCGAGATATCAATCTCATTTTCAACCGTGGACGGTCCGGGAGAAAAGCCCGTGCTGGCAGGCTGGTCGATGTAGACGATGTTTGTCAATTTGGTCCATGAGTACGGGTTGCGCACAGGCTCGTACACTCCAGATTGCCATAGGAAGGGGCCGTTCTCTTGTAACAGACCGTCAAGCGAGCTGCATCCTGGGCCTCCATTCAGCCAGATGGTAATCTTTCGAGAAATTAGACGAAACTCTGCGACGGATTGAAATCACGTACCTCCTTTTCCGCAGCTGGGTTGGTAGACGGGAAAAACCAGAAGAACAAGCTTGATTCTCCATGAGGCTTATTCGACAAAAGACCGGCATAGCTTTCGCCGATGTCAAAAGGAACTTGTGGGAAGTGGGTTCCATTTACTTGGAACTCTAGAAGAAGAGTTGTAAGTATATATCTCAGATCCCAGTAAGACAAAGGTCCGCACTTACTTTCCGTCTTGTTATTCAGATACTGATGCTCAGTCAGAGCAGCAGGAACCTCTCTTTTGCGCAGACCGTTCGCAGGCTTTCTGAAAGATGCAGCTCTGCCATGCGGATTCTGTACCGCCGTGGCCACGGCCACTAACGAAGTAAAAGCTGCCAAGATCAACATTATTCGATGCTGGAAAACCAGAATTGAACCCAGAAGCACGGAGGTCTACTTTTATAACCCCAATGTTCCAAGACGTTGCTACTCGGCGCGATTTGCGTTCCGTGCGGATATTCACGCACTATCAAGCTTTGCCAATAGAGATCGTGGCTAGTTGAGACAAGACCCGCTGTGAGGCAGACATTGGTCGCTAGCCAGCGGGATCTGCAGCGACTGCAACGTCGTCAGGAACAACCGGCATGGCGATTGATTGCGCTTCCTTTTACTCCGACGGAGTCCGTTATCCAGCGTATGATGCAGATGCACTCGTAGCTCGGCCCGCTGTCTAAGAAGATATCAGTGCATGTGAATGCCATGTTTACTGAGCTGGTACGGTCGCGGTGGGGCGAGATAATAGTATCTAGTATCTAGGTCCTTTAGTGAAGGCATTTCATAACGTCAAACCAGATGTCAATCCTGCTGCCTGTACTCTGTCCCCGCAGAAGGATCTCAATTCGGATCAAATCAATTTGATACCACCCGAAGGTTCATGACACATCCTGAGATCTACCAAGGTAGATACCATCAACGTATGTTCCCATCGCATGAATAATGGGCTCTATTGGATATCTGGTGAATTTAGATCTAGGTCAGGGGAGAGTCAAGAATGCGTACTCCGCACTCCGCATGTAATAACATCCGAGGCAGAAAAGATCAGGCGACAAGCAAACCTCAGGCATTCAGGCAGCAGTGCATTCAGGCAACAAGGCATCAAACACATTTTAACGATGACGTCAATTTGTGCGTTTTCTCGACAGCCAGATGAGCTGAATTATGACACCCTACATCGAGTAGCACACACATAAGCTGCACATATTTACCTGTGTATCCACAGCGATAACTTTGATATACCAGACCTCGGAATGTCCCTGTAGCAGATAAAATGAAAGCTTAGTCTAATAGGAGTGCGATCATAATTGTTTCTTAGTATTACAAAGTGAGCAGAGAGAGGTGATTACCTGTTTAGGAAGCGGATGTGCGGGGAATAAACCAAGGTTCAAATTAAGCTATTAAGCTCGTGATGATGATATTGTGAGGTAACTGTACATTCCGCAGCCCTCCGCTCTACGAATTGGGAAGGAACCCAAGCTGTCATTATTATCAGTGTCTGGGGATGGAATGGGGGACTGGTGACCTGCATCTGTGTCTGCGAGGGGCATACACCCGATCAGCACGGTGTAACAGGTGACATTCCTCGATCGGCGGGGTTGGGTATCTTTTCTATATAGATCTGTCATCCCAGAGCTAGATTGTATACATCCAGGGCAGGTGGGGTAATTATTCAGGGTCCAGGGGGTTTGAAGAAGTTGAAATGGGCCTTTGGCCTTTCATTTGTTGAATTACATACATGATTAATCAGTATAGCATTATCAATATCCATTAAACAAAGTTGTCTCCCAAATAATATAACCGTAAACTCCCGAAGACAAATGATTACACATGACCTTTTTTCCGTATCCCAAAATTGAAACCCAACCAAAGCCCGAACCCCGAATCCCAAGTCCATTCCGATATTACCCATCGTCAATCCGTAGTGATCATCAATTAGTCGTCAGGTCGTGAATTGTCGAGACCCGTTCAATGAGTGTTGCGTCTTTTCTTGAGTCGCAGACTGATTTTCTTTCGTAGTTCAGAGAACGGGTTCACCAAGGGACGATTGTAGAAGGGATCGTTCTTGAAGTCCTCATCGGTGAATTTCTGGAACAGAGTCAGTAATGGTGACACAATAAGATGAGAAGATAGACATACCGTGCCAGGCAGGCGCATAAAGTTACCAGAAAAGTCGTTCATCATGTTCGAGCCCTCTTCGTAAGAGTACTCCTGGCCATTGCGATCCATGGTTCCAGGAGGATAGAAAGCCACGCCATCCAGTGGGCGGTGACTGTTTAGGGCATCGGCAATCTTGTGGTGCGGAGTAGCCCGGAGGGCCTCGGCATTGGACTCCTTGACAGCCTCCAGCGGGCTGGACTGACTGAAGCGGTTGCGTTCAGGGCGGGTCGCGTCATACGGACCTTCGTGGTGATAGGAGAAATTGCTGACATTGTCCAGCCTGTCGATGATATCAGGTTGCACAATCATCGAGTGGCGGTTGGACTTGGTGGTGCGGCGACGATGGGGAGCAGAGGAGTCGCGTTTGCGTCTCGGCTCCACCGGATAATGTTCGGGTGCGCCGGAGTACCAGATAGAAGGCGTCGAGTTCAGAGACTCAGAACGCGACCGTTGGGAGTAGCCAGACGGTGCTGGTGACATGAAGCGGGCATATGGGTTGTTGCTACCCATACTTGCTCGCACGTTTGGTCGATCTTGATTAAGTTGGTTGAAGTGATGACTTGAGGCCATAGGAATGCAGTCAACTGCCATTTCGAAGTTGTTCGAAGTGTTTTTGTGAGATGAAGAGGTATCCAGGATGAAAGGCGCAAGGCGCAAATATTACCCGGTGTTATAAGTAAGAGTAAGATTACTGTATTTAGAACAGGTGAGGCTGAGCTGCAATGCAGGATAGCTTGTATAGTAGCTGAGGATGTAATAGAGGAAGAGTGTAAGAGAGGAAGAGTGTAAGAGAAGAAGAGTGAAATGTATGAAGATGGGTAGATGTAGGAGGGAGAAGAGCGAGCGGCGCAAGAAGGGCTTATATCAAAGGAAGCAGCGGACGTGACGTGACGACTCGCTATACCTATGCTTTAATGATCCTCGTGGCTAGACGCAGTCTAGGAGCCTCTGATGGGGCTTAGAACCTCATTTGAATTTTCCGCGACTGCATGTACCAATGATCACTGAGAATAGATCACCGGGTGGATCGAGATGTTAGGTTTACTACTTGGCCGCCGATTCCCGGGACGTCGACGGAGTATGGCGTTAGTGATATCATGGTATATTGTCCCACTCAATAGTTTCTACTTTTTCCCTAAATCAATTGGAGTGGATTACAATTATACTATTCGATTCGAAAATAAATCCCATGATTCACCATGCAGAAAGACTAAATATATGCAAGGCCCATGTTGCATTCCACATCCGAGACTTCCACGCAGTCAGTCCACTTCCCGACCCCTATGACGATATCCCTGGAGTACTACCTCCACATACATTTTCCCTTATTTTCCAACGTCATCCTGCCATCTGAAGAAGAAAAGTCAATTTACTTAAATACTATCCTAAGTAGTCGTCGGATATCTTATCCCGAAGTCTCCGATGACTCGTCCATGGATTAAGCTCATCACTAGGGAAAATAGCGTCTAACTGGTCTCACTTGGCATCCGAACTACCCCTGGCCTGGTCTAGATCTAGACTCTATTTCCTCCGTACCTTCGTTGGGAAAGTTCTTCAGCTATTTAGCTTTTCACCGCTTTTTGCTCCTTGCTACGATTCATGCGCATTTCCTCGTTCTACAGCATAACACATGCAATCTAGAACAGATGTCTTAGGATAGCTATGTACTCATGTGTAGGGACGATGCAACTAATTTTGAAACTGCTAGTGTGTTTGACATTTGTGTGGTGGGGCAATATCAGCTCCATTTCTATAAATATCCAGTCAACCGAATAATTACTTTTTTCATAGAAAATAATTTTCGCATGCATAAGGGATTAAGTGATATGAAATAATAATCATTCTATAAAGGGGCTATAGCCTCAAGCAGCGAGAACCTAATGAGAAGCTTAAGACCGAGTTCCATTTTCACGCATAAAGGATCCAGCAATGACAATTGCTAATGGTAGTCCATCTAGACAATTGGCAAGGGTAATGACTCTCCTAGCTCTGTCACCTTTTACAGCCGAGATGTAATGAGAATGGAGCCATGGTCGGCTACAGGGAAAAATTCAACGAGATCGTATGTATCACCAACAGCGTTATCAAAGGAAGAGTATTGATCGATGTTGTCAAAAACGATTAGCCAGCGTGAGTTGCCTCCTAAGGCTAGCCACCGCAATAACTCGTTGCTCTACCTCCTCGTTATTGACCGCCTCGGTATTCTATGAGTGTCCTGGTAGTAGGGGGAAAGTAGAACTCAATGATTGCAAGAGCGTGCCTCGATCCTTGCCATTCAGCCAAAATATGGCGGTGAAATAGTTTTTATGGTCTTGTACGAAGCGAATCGCTAGTTGTGTCTTTCCTACCCCCGAGCCCATGATGAATAGCCACTTTTCGTGACCAGGAAATTGTCGGCCGTAGACTGCCATAGCTGGTCTAGCTGATCTTGCCGCCCCAAGAAACTTCCAAACGCAGGCATTGCAGCAATGTCTAATGGGAGATAAAAGCGATGAACTATATATAATAGACCGTTAGCAATACTTCGAACTCGATAAAGAGTACCATGTTGAAATTCGTACCAGGGAGATATCTCGTAATGCCCGGTCCTTGCAAAAACGAATAAATCCAAAGTTTGATTCCGGTTGTTTGTAGTCCTATGGAAATGTACTCGAATGTTTAACAAATCTCAGTATGAGCGATATGTCTGACCGTACGCTCTTGACTTAGAGAGCTCTAAAGTAACTCACAGCTAAAAAACAGGCCATATTTTATATTCCACGGGTTTTCTAGATATGCCTGATATCGCTTACTCGAGACAGCGATCTGGTATTATGGCTCTGAAAAAGGAAGAGAGAATGGAACAACAGAATGTCGGCTGCCGTGGAAGATACGGCGGTTATTATAGTCAGTATACCCAGCAAATACCTCATATAGTCTTGTAGCACGTATCTAATGCTTGTATTATCTAGAAAGTATACAGGTCGCAATCCAATATTGTAGGTACAGGTCTACCCTTAATGCATGAGTACCCGGCCCTTCGCTTTCGCCCAACAACCCAAAACGGGTTGTTGGGACTCAAAAACATATGTGGCGGTCAGGTTTGGTGGTAAGTAGCCTCGCAACCTAAAAAGTCAACGGTCCTTAATCAAAATGGTCTAGATGCAAGGATTAGTCGATGATGCTTACATGATTTGCTCTAGCCATGTCTTGTCAAAGAATACGACACTACTATGAAAGCTCAGATTTGTGGGAACTCTTAAATCGAAGCCTTCGTTCTATGTATCTCTTTTTGGATTTACAAACTACAGACCCAGTCACAGTCAATATGCAGCAAGACGAGAGCTTTGAAAAGGTTGAAGTTCTGAAGGGAGCACAGCGCTCTGTTGAAGTCCTGGCACACGATACACCCCCGATTTCCCCCAATCATTGGACCCAAATCCTCCCCACTGATCCCATCTTCTTGAGCACGAAGCTTTTCTGGGAATCATTACATGCCGACAAACAATGTCTGAAAAATCATATCCGACTGATGGCGGGCTATCAGCAACTACCAGTGACATTATTGTTCAATCCATGCAATTCTCACTCGGGAGAATTCCACGATATGTTTGGCAAGATGTCCGCTTTGGGATGGCTCGCGCGAGTTTTTGATAAGATCGGCCTTGATATTGAGCATGATGTACCTATATGGGACATTTTGCCAATGATGTGCGACGAATGGCTTGAAAAAATGGCTCACAGTGGACGCCAAGAGGAGCTTGAAAAGACGATCGTACAAGGCTACGAGCTCATAGGTCAATACTTGGAAAGATTCAAGCCGCCTACCATAGTTGTCTTACAATGTTCCACCCAATCGTGCAAAGAAACAAAGTACTCCTTCCTGCAAAGAGTGTCCCATCCCTTGGCAAAGGTTCTTTGTTCGTCGATGGACAAGTCACTTGAAGGAAATTGCGAGACCATCAGATATCGGAACCATGAATTTTGCGTGGTGCCAGGGTTTCACCCAAGCGCAATCAATTACGAACCGGATGTTCTTAAGAGAGATGTGCTTAGTACATCTCTCAAGAGAACCTTGGTTTCGATTTATCAACCATACGCGGAAGCTTTGCTCGAGATAGAGCTATGAAAGTGTTCTAGAATGAAAATCTATTCACTTCATTCAACTGGCTGGTTCAACCTCTATGAAAGCACTCTTCCACACCATAATTATCTTCGACAGTAAGCCCGGGGGTACTTTGGTTTGTGTTGATGAGGCTGTACGGAGCCCGTGTGGGTTATGCAGACCAAGCCAGCTGGGACCGATATTAAATAACACGTTTGCATAATCGACAAAATCAAGTTACTCATAGATTATGTATCTAAAAGCACTACGTAAGAGAAGTATAGATGTCATAGACAGAATCTAGTCTTACAGCTTGGGTTGCATTCTCTCCCTCGATTTCGTCAAGACCCTATAGAACATATGTGATATATCTTAGTCGGAAATGTCAGCATGGTAGTGCAAAGCTATTTTGTTAGCCTTTCAACGAGAAACAAAAATATCAAGCCAATTGAGACAGAACCGAAAAAGAAACATTAAACAAAACAAAAACAAAACAAAAGCACCTAAAAGTGCAAAAAAAGAGATTAAAAAAAGGGAAAAGAAACACAATTCGGACTTTACACTATTTGATATATCTCACTGTTAATATCAGATTGTTACACGATGTTAATTTCGAAGCATTCATTCAACTTCATGTTTTACCATGTTGTTCTTCCCCCTTGTCTGCCACAGCATGATGATGAAGACATATTGGATGACATATTGGATGCCGACTGGCCTCTAGAGCGCACGCTCCACCGGTTCGTTCAGGAAGCTCTTGAGTCGTTCATACCAAAGAGCTCACCGGAAAATGAAGAGCCCTTGAATATCTTGATGACCATGTTGAGGAATTGGGAAGAAGTGGACGAGCAAGGTGCTGGGTGCCAAGAGACCCTTGCTCGGATTATATCAGGTCTCAAAAAGAACAGTATGCTCCCTTTTGTGGATGGTGAAGATCAAACCAACTAACGACAATAGGGGCGGCTGCTCTATACATTAAGGCCCAGAACTGTGGCTGGGTGGCATACTACGACAAAAGCAGCGACAAGGTCATCGTGGATGCATTCGAAGTATTACCTCGCGCAAAAGACGTGATTTCTGCTCCGGGGAGTCTAGTTCGCCAGTTCCCTGGCGGAAGCGTGGCCATCCCAGGTAGCATGCTGGGGGATGATAGGTTTTGCATGGAGCTTTCAAGAAACCTTGCGCGACTTTCGACTGAAGACGTGGAAGAAATGATGCCTAAGTCTTCCAAAGCTGGAAAACTAGTTCCTGAAGAGCGGGATGCTACCCACCCGGGCCTTGTCACTGAAGGGTTGATGACCCAGCTGTTGGCATTTGGTGAACACAATGCGGAGCTTTCCTTTACCAAGAACACGCGAGAAGAGGTCAACTGGAGAAGCAGCAAGCTCCCTTGGAGAAGATCCCCTCATTGGCTTGTGCTGCGAGTTGCCCTCCAGACAGTGCTTCAACGTGCTCTTCCTAATGGAGAAGGTTACAAGCAATACAAGAACTTTATGCTATATTTCGTAGCTGAACTGGGGTGCCTCTCTACACGTGTCAGGCCTGTTGTTCCTGCAGATTGTTTGGAGATAATTCGTGCCAAGATATGTCGACGCCTCTTGAAGTTGAAGGAAGGAGCCTGCGATTTTGTTCTGGAACACGCGAAGTCGGCGGAGACGATCATGCGCTCCTCCTTGCAGATTATTCAGCAGGATATCATCAGGTCAGGTGCGATGCCAGTACCGAAAGGAATTGCCTGCACACCAGAAGATTTGCAGATGTCACTCAAGAGTTCCCGAGAATATCTGAATTCTGCAATGTCTCGTGTTCCTGTCAATATCGAACAATCATGTTTCGATCGACGCCACGAACCGCGCAATCGAATCAATCGGGTTGGGCTACCTATTTTGGAAAGCGGCGATCTTCTGTCTTTAACAGACTTTGAGTGCTGGGTGAAAAATGCAATGGAGACCAATTGCTATTCTCGCGATAGAGAGCCTTCGGAGCATTCGTGTTGCTTGATTGGAGACTTGCTTCAAACCTATTCAGGGTTCGCAGTCGAAGCATACAGTGACAGCCCAGATGCCATGTCCATCGCAATTATCTGTATAATGGAGTTGTGGGTCATTTTTGATAAGATGTGCATTGCCATCTGTCCACTCCTGGCAACGTACTCCCCTGAAGTACCAAGCAACATCCTTGAATCGCTGCTCTTACCACAACTCTCCGGAATGCAACGAGCCAATAAGATCGAAGCCTATATCCATTCCAGACACCAAGAACGAGCAGTCGGTGCTCCAAGCATATTTTCTGATCCCAAGTCGCAAGGGTTTGCTGTTTCTTACTTTGACGGTTCTGAAAAACATCAAAGGCTACGCGAGCGTATAGAGCAAGATGCACATGATAGCGTTGAGAGCAAAAAGAGAGAGTGGACAAAGAAGTCTCAACAGCATGAAGAGCTTCTGCTCGAGGCTGCTCGAACCCCACACCAGTGGGACGTTGATTCGCGCGGCATAGAATATCACTCGGGATCCTGCCAGTGCTGTTCCATCGAAAGCCATGCTAGGAATATTAGCATTGACGTCTACGAATGGCCACTTCCGAAGAGGGAGGAGACCCTCAAAACCGTTATCTTCGAGTTGGACTGCCCACATTGGTTTCTGAAGTGGCGCGATGTCACTTGGCATTTGGTCCATGACCTTGGTCGGGTGCAAATTGAAAAAGGACACAAAATGGAGCAAAATCTGCTCTCTTACAAAGAGACTCAACAGTTCTGCGTAAGCTGGGGCCAACGTCTTACTTTAGGATCAACAGCAAAGTCGTGGAAGAGGACTCATTACAGTAGTCGTCAATTCCCTGTGGCTTTTGGTGACATAACATCCCTAAATGCGTTACGGTTCCGGCTTCTCGACACCAAAGACAACAGCTGGGTAGGAGACCAAAAAGATCATCCTTCGCTGAAGCGTTGGTGTATTTTTAACCTCCCTCCGGGGCCGTACACTTGCCTGCAATATACAGTGGATTCGTTCCTACACTCCGAGAATAAGGTCATTGCGGATCAGCAAAAGTGTCCTTCTGAGCTGAGTTTGCATGAATTCATCGCTTTTGGCTGCCTTCGAGCGGGGTCCAGAGTGCAGTGGTATAACATGGTTCGTGAATTAGCGTCGTCTTCTCTCGCAATGAACGAGGAAGCAATATGCATGTTGTATCGTCAAGCAGCCTGGGAACTCAGCGGCCCAACCCCTGGCTCGAAGCTAAGAGAGGCTCACGTAGCATTTGCACAGGGTGGCTTCGGTAGCCGGTTATTGGACTGCTTGGACCATAAGCTTGGCTGTATTGAAGCCAACTGGAATGAACATCATACTTTGCACACGCTGGTCGTTTTGGGTCTTCGCACCCTCAGTTTGTCAGATGAATTCTCAACTGTTGAACGAGCGAAAGAATTTTTGCGTCGAAGCCGAAAGATTGCTTTAAAGTGGTGCGAGAATCTCACCGCTAACCTGTCCACTCAAACAGACGCACAGAGTGAAGCACATCAGTTGCTTATTGTCAAGATAGGGGGATTATGTCAGCTTACGTACGCGGTAGAGCCACAGCACCTTCCACTTCTCCTTGACAACCGTGCAGACCTATTTCATCTAACCCGGTCCTCAATCCTGGTTTTCGAAAATTCGCCTCGATCGCATGTGAACATTTCTTCAGGAGTCAAAAACTCTCTCATCTGGACAGCCAAAATTCTTCATAATATCGAAGAGCATACCCGTCATTTGATTGAGACCGATGCATCAGGCTTCAATGAAGCAATTAACAAGAGTGTGCATGATCTGCAGATCGCGTCTGCCTGGAGATCATGTCCGGGGGACTCTTCACGATGGGTTATAAATGAAACGAGTGCAGACACCCATGGAAGCCCACAAAAGATTCACTACAATCTGCTTAGTGGAGAGCTTCTCTTGGCAAATTGTCCTCCTGGCCGCCTTCCTCGGGAGTACACTAGCCTGTCATTGTTTCAACGCATATTCGGCAATGTGAGAAGCCCTTGATACGTTTGATTCCCTGCATTAAGAACTAATCATTTTAGCGAACTCTGACGGTACTACCATCAAATTTGAATGGGTCAATCTTCATGTCAACAGCCCGGTATGAGGGATACTCTGTAAGCTCAATGCACCTGCGTGGTGTGAGTGAGATACTAACTTTTTCTTTTCGTAGCTCTACTTCTCGATGGATGCGGGTGAACTTATCATCAAGGCGCGAGCTGAGCGTCAAGTATTACAGCTCATTGCGCACGAGAAGCTAGCCGGAGACTTCCCGGAGACTTTAGTCTCTGGCTATGCGCATTGGCTTGATTTGGAGAGCGGGACGCTCGAGTTCCGTCCATTAGAGCATGCATGGGCCCCGCAATCGACAGAGTGGCATCTTTCAATTGATTCAATTTCAGGAAAAATATCGTCCATGACCTCAGGTCACCAAACAATGGTTGACATCAATAGCCAGCTTTTCAAACGGGTGGCAGGTGTTCTCGGTGTATTAGATGCTCCTAGTCACATCCATATCGTTCAGACGAGAAAAGGTGATGAAATAACAGTCGAGATTCACTTGGTCAGGCTTCGACTGAAGTTTTTTATAAACCAGGATGGCGATCTGGAGTCTCGGGAATTTAATGCAAAGGTCGATCAAAACCAGGACATAGGATGTCTATATGGTCTGAAGAACAAGCTTGTGCTTCTTGACTCCCGGAGAAGATGCCGCTCCGTTTTGATACCGTATGGTGATGTGCAGCTGTTCAAAGTCAAACGCCAAACTGTCGTGTCTGTCAACCCACCTGAAGAGCCTCGCCTGCGGTGTTTCCACTACTCTTTTGATCATCATCTTAAGGTGCTACAAGGATCATTCGATATGTTGGAGATACTGTATCTAGCATATGTGCATGCAGTCACAAGCTATATCCTTCCTGATCCTGCAACGGAGCGATCGGGAACAGCGGAGGCCATTCGCATTCTGCGACAGGCATGTCTGAGAACCTCTTTTCCACTCAACTGCGAGACGGTTGCGCTCTTGAAGAAGATTGCAGCTCTTACTCCTAGACGTCGCTACTATCCTGACCATTTGAAGTCTATGCAGACAGTCTCGTGGAACAGTGAGCTTGGCGAACTGGCCCAACACGACGATTTTAGAGCGCTTACACAAGAAATCGTGGAGCATGCTAGCAGATTGAGTACACTCCATGGGATGAGTGAGACTGAGTGCGATCAAATGGCCAACTGCTACAAGGATTGTGGAGATCTCCACCTTCTCGAAAGAGCCCGTTCTCGAAATTCGCAGTTCTTCTACTCTGAGCTTGGAGGGGGATCGGTGCATCGAATGCCTCGGCCATCTTTGTATCGCTCTCGGGATCGCGAGTTCCAGAGCGAGCGAAGTCACCGCGTCTACAAAGTCGCAACCCTTGTCAGAAGCTGGCAGCCGTGTCTATCGCACTGCGTTGATCTTCTCGGAAGTATTGGAAGTTGGGAAAGCGTCCGTCCATCAGGACCCCCTTTAAAGGAGGCTAGCTGTACAGAACTTCTACGACTGTCCTTTAGAGACGCATGGGGCTCTCTGTATGAGCTTTGCCGGTCTAGCGATCAGGCAAGAGACTCATACAGCCTCATGTCTCTCTTTTGCACGATTGCATTTTCTGGAAAAGAGGAACAGCATATTTATTCACTTTTGGCTGTCGCGTTTTCTACTCAGTTCGAGGACCTTCCTGTTCCTCCAAGCGAGCAACAAATTCTTAACCTGCAACTGGGCGAGTGTTTCGATGAAGAAATGATCAAAGAAGCGATAGAAAGGAATTACAGTCAATTCTTGCATCCCGGTGCGGGTACAAATTCCAAAGCACAAAAACGAGCGGCTAAGGAACGAAAAGCACAATATGATCTACAGAAAGACAATGATCTACAGACTTCCTCCGAGGCAGTGAAAAGGCAATGGCCCTGCGAAATGCCTCTGTTGCCAGAAATCGAAAGGGTCAATACAAGAGGGGCCTCGCAAGCATGTTCACTTTTGTGCACCCAATGGTACCAAAATCGCCAGTTCTTAAGCTTTCTTCGCTCGGTGCAAGAGAAACTCAGTACTATGGAAGTTGAAGGGCCTTTGACAGACTTAGCAGTCCCGTCCACACCACCACTAGATTCGTTTGTCCCTGGCCGTCCATTTCTGCCTCCCAGCCTTTTTGACATTCTGTCATCATCCAGTCCGACCAGCCTGCCGACAGAGAGTCCTCCTCTCATATTCCATCGGCACTGTATCCCGCAACGCTATAATAGCGACATGAATACAGAGCTTCGCTCTTTGATATCCGATTTCCGGAACAATGTAAATGCGTGTCAGCGCGAGCTTGGAGAAGGGCTTGAGGAAAGCTTAGACTCTCTGGAAAAAGCGGACCTACCTTGCTCTTCTCCGTCGCTGCCTGTGGGTCGAAATGTCATTGTCGGATATTGTGACTTCCAAAGGAAGCAAAGAGACGCAATCTGGAACGCGATTGAAGAGACCTTGCACTCGACCGAACACGGCTGGGAAGAGGTTTCTGGAACCGTTTTGATGACGCAGGTTACCAGTCACTCATTGTTGTCACTTCTCGCGACGGAACGCTGGCATTTGGTACCTGAAGCATGGAAAAACAACATTTTAACGTTTGCAAGAAGTATCAATTTCTTACGCCGAGCTGACCGTCTCCTGAGTTGTTATGATCGGAATGATATTGATGGCTTTTTCAAAGAAGCAGAGAGTGTCAGCGAGGAAGGGTGGGAGGCTCTGGAATACCCAGGCTGGCTGCTTTTTGAGATTGAAAATAATCTCACCATCCGAAAGTCACAGGCAGATGTAGCTCTCAATATCATCAGCCCCATGACCCAGTCGAATTCAGTCATGCAACTAAACATGGGCGAAGGGAAAACTTCGGTCATAACACCATTAGTGGCTTCGGTTCTCGCAGATGGTGAGAATCTGCTTCGAATTTTTGTCTTGAAGCCTCTGTTGCGGCAAAGCGTGAATCTCCTCTCTCAACGCCTCGGTGGAATGCTTGGTCGGCGCATTTACCATATACCGTTTGCAAGAGACACCGATCTGGACAAAAATACATTGGATCAACTGCACCAAACATATGTTGAATGTCAGAAACAAAATGGGATCTTGATAGTATTACCGGAGCAAGTCTTATCATTTCGCCTTGTCGGTCTGGATTTGATGAATAGAGATCCCGCTTTAGCTCCTCAAGCGATAGGACTTGAAAGATGGCTTCAATCCAACTGCCGGAACGTCCTCGACGAGAGCGATGAAGTCCTCGATCCTAAGTTTCAACTCGTGTATACTGTCGGCAGCCAGCAGACAGTGGATGGGCACAGCGATCGTTGGGATATAATTCAGTCATTGCTTGCATTGGTGGATAGTCAAGCCGAAAAGATACGCCTGGAAGACCCGAATTGCCTGGATATTGAACGCAGTGGTACTCGCTATCCAATCCTCCATTTTCTGAGACCGGAGACAGCCGATACAATTATTTCGAAAATCTTGAATGTCATAAATGAGGAAGGACTGCCAGGCCTTCCAATAAATCAGTGGGCTGGGCGAGTTCGCAGAAGTGCGTTAGATTTCATCCGCTTCATTGACACCACGAATGGGTGTAGGAACATCCTTCGTGAGACATTCCAGGATGGCGTTTTCCTGCGCAAGCTGCTTGTCTTGCGAGGTCTGCTAGCCCATAACATTTTGAAGTTTACGCTGGCTGGAAAGCGCTGGTTGGTCGATTATGGGCTTCATAGGTCCCGTTGTTTGATGGCTGTTCCATTCCGAGCCAAAGGTATCCCTTCCGAGAACGCTGAGTTTGGTCACCCTGATGTCGCCATCACATTGACTTGCCTGAGCTACTATTATCACGGGCTCACTGTCCAGCAAGTACGGCATTGCTTCACGCTGCTGAGCAAGGAGAATGACCCTTCGGCGCAATATCATGATTGGATTTCCAACGGCCTGACTAACCTTCCTCCAGCGCTGAGAGCGATTAGTGGAGTGAATCTTGAGGATACACAGGTCTTCTGCAGAACCCTCTACCCACATCTGAGGTATCAGAAGTGTATCATAGACTTCTATCTCTCGCAGGTCGTGTTCCCAAAGGAGGCCAAAGAATTTCCGCAGAAGCTCTGCGCTTCTGCGTGGGACATACCTTCGCAAAAAGACCAACCACTCACGACTGGGTTTAGTGGTACCAACGATAATCGGCTTCTTCTGCCGAGGTCGACACCTCAGTGTGATCTCCCTCATCTGCTGCATACAAACGCAATGGTCATTAGTTGTCTACTGAGGGAGGAAAACCGCTCATGCATTCTAGCGCAGGATCGGGGAGGCCGACAGCTTTCTACGACGCACCTCATTGCTTTGGTCAAGACTCAGTGTCCATCAGTACGTGTCATAATTGACGTCGGAGCGCAGATTCTGGAGTCTAGCAATCGATGGGTTGCCAATCATTGGCTTTCCATTGCTGATGATGCAGACGGGGCCATATTCTTCGACGAGAATGACGAACCAGCGGTAGTTGATCGTGAGGGTCACGTGGAAAGGCTGCTGTGTTCGCCGTTTCGGCAAAGGATGCACAGATGTCTGGTCTTTTTGGATCAACAGCACGCCCGCGGTGTTGATTTGAAACTTCCCTCCACATATCGAGCCGCTGTGACCATCGGGCCTCGTTTAACGAAAGACAGACTTGTTCAAGGTGAGTGCGTTTCTAGAATGGTGACACAATATTCTGACTTTGGTAAAGCATGTGGCAGACTGCGTGCCCTTGGAGTTGGCCAGTCTGTCGTATTTCTAATCCCACCCGAGGTCAGTCATAGCATGCGCCGAGAAAATGATCTTGTGACCTCGCTTGACGTGATTCGATGGGCACTCATGCAAACTTGCGATACTCTGCAAAGCTTGAAACCTCTTTGGGCCTCACAAGGCTTGCAGTATTATAAGAAGAGCAGATTGTGGGGTAGTCTCATTGAGGATAGTACACCTGCCCAAGATGTCGTTTCATGCATTCAGGAGCCCGAAGCGCAAACTTTATCTCAGCTTTATGATCCGTCGGACGTTCCTAGGGCCTCAAGTCTGAATGAGTATATAGATCCAAGTGATCTCGTCGTCCGTGAGCTTCTCATGGCGCGATCATCTGCTATAAACGGGAATGCGGGTGGCCCTACTCTACACGAAGAGCAGGAGCGTCAGATAACTCACGAAGTGCAGAGAGAACAGCAGGTCTGTCGCCCGCCGAAGCAAACACCACTTCTTCATCATGTGCATAAAGACATTCGTCACTTTGTGACGCATGGTAAATTTCAGGACGAGGGCACAGCTGCAGCCTATTTGGCATTTGACAGCCTCCGGAAGACCTCTGCTGGGCAATTCAATCTACCACAATCCTTGGGCTCTCGACTTTTTACATCGGATGACTTTGTCAAAACAGTCAAACGGGCCAAAAACACAGTGGATGACCAGTTTTTGAAGCCTGTTCACTGGATACTATCTAATATCCATAACCATGACTTGCTGCTCTTGAGCCAACATGAGGTCAACGAACTTCTGCCTGACATAAGAATGTCAAAACAAGCAAGTTTGCATGTCTACTCTCCGAAGAGAAGTAAGACTATGTGGTCTTTTAATGACCTCGCTTTCCTCGCTGTCGGCGAAAGACGCAATGCATGGCATTGGCCACCTGAGTTAATTCAAGACCTAGCATTGTTCTCAGGGAATCTTTACTTCGAGACCTTCTCAGCATATGAAAACTTTCGGCAATTTTTGGGTCTCGTGACGGGATCATGCAGCAATATTCCAGAAGGCCGAGTCACGAATGAAGGTTTTGTTGATGAGGTAACGCGGCGACTAGTTGGCTGGCCCACACAATCTCCCTTCATGTGCAGCCCTTTGCCATTCCTAAGAGCACTTTTCAACCTCAGAAGCAAAGGGCATGGATACTCCCAAACCCACATTGGTATGGTTCTAGATGTTAGGGTACTGTCGGCCAATCATTTCTAGTTTTGGATATGGTAGTCCGCTTCATATATCATTTTCAGACTAAAGCTCTTTCCTTTAATCTTACTTAGTTACTGTCTTTTGTTGAAGATCTCGCCACCGTTCTGAATCACATTGAATAAACTAGACCAGGAGTTTGTTATGCTTTATCTGCACATTAACTTAGGTATATCATAATCGACAGCCAGTCAAATAGTCCTGGGATAACAGTCCGGCACGGTTATTGATTTATCAACAAATTCGGAACCCTAAAATATTAGGAACAACCAATAACTAGAATGGCGACTTATTTGACTATATAATATAAAGCGATTGGATACAAAGGATATTTTACTCTATACAGTCAAAGCTCTTTTCTTCCGATGATATAGTACAGTTCGAAATCAGTTCCATCGTTTATATAAGGAGCCTTTATCTTACCTACTTCTGAAACACGCTATACCCATTACTACTACTATATCCTTACGTTAAGTGTTGGTCTAGGCACTAGCCGGGAAATAAAGTGTATATCTGGGGAGTACAGTAATCTGTTTTCGAATGCTCTTGATCAACAATTTGTTTAAAGGATTTACACGCAAGCCGCGCAGATATATAAGGAATAACAATATTCCACCTCCGCCAGGGAATCCAAGGCGACAGAATCTCTGTGGTTTAGTGGTGAAACTGGTTTCGTTCCATCCTGTGAAAGGAGTGAGAAACAAAATGTCTTCACACTACGTTCAGCGTATCTTAGAGCCAAAAGGACTTACGTGATAGCTTGAAAATTCAGGGGGTCGGTGCTAAAAGAACGCTGGCACAAGCCCCTTGACATGTCCCGAAAGCCGAATTGCAAGCAACGATGGAGGCAGGTGCGCTAACACCCATCGTAGCTCCCCAAGTGAAACCTGCTGCTGAATAGCAAGCCATGACAACCGCAGCACATCCTGCTTGGCATACCCCGTACGCGGCAGGTCCAGCAAATACAGCAGAGCTGAAGAGTAAGAGATTAAGGAATTTTCCTCGTGAGACTATCATTTGTTCAGGTTCAAATCAATCAGGTTAGAACGGTGGAATAGCGCCTGAATTTGGGGATGCTATACGAAAGGAAGCAGATGGATTGGAATATGTACCATACCAAGAGAATGACGTATAAGATTTTGCTGGCACAATGGCCACTGAATGACGCGTCGATTACTGGTGACTGGTCTCTAAGCCTATCATAAAATTTACCGTACCGCTCTTTCCAAGAAAAAAGATACATTGGTTACTCACAACGGAGATACTTATACTGTATCTGATACATCATATGGAAGGAAAATTAAAGACTCACATTCACTCGTTGCCCGACACGGACTACCTGCCTACGAATAACACACCCCTGCCCACATACGAGGATTTGATGGCCTAGAAGTCTCCTGGGATGATGATAGTAAGCCGCTTTGGTCCAAAGGTGGTGTGTTCCAAGTCCACTATTGGTGTCTTGATATTCACAGTGTATTCATATATCATTAAAGTTGCTTTAAAGTGGTAGCCCTTTCGAACACGGCTGTGCAGCGGCTTAAAGCTCTCGCTTTCATTTTGTGAAATCTGTTCATGAAGCGTACGTTGATGAATCTGCACAAAGATCAACTCTTAAGCCTTTTATTATCAGCCAAAGTAGGACCACAAAAGTATTAATCACTGTAGCCGAGCCTGTAGTGATTGTATAACGAAAGAGTAATGTTTTAATTGATGATTGTTTGCTTACATGGATAAGGGTGTACACCTACCCCTATTGTAGTAAGAACCAGCAACTACGTTAATGTGATACTTGGTGGCCTTCTCTTGTGCACCGTCACTCGAAGGGGTGAGGGAACAGGGGTATTTAGGTAATTGTAACAGAAGTACAGCCCAAATATTATGTGCCTGATATCTGATGGAACTTCTTAGCCCAAAATTGTGACACAATGTGAGAATAGAAAGAAAAAATCTATGACAAGTGAAAGAGAAGTGCCAATATCAAAACATAAATTTATAGATGAAATTGGAAACGGTGATTGGTCGCCGACTTGAAATTGCCCCACATCTGAGAAATCAGACCTCCATCAACACAACAACTCCCCTGTCACATCGGATGAGATGTCCCTAGTACAGTATTCTGATTCAGAATCCGACTCGGAATCTAGATCTTCTCTTCGCCCGGCCAAGAAACCTTGCCGCAACATCAATCAAGGTCCATCGCTGCCGCCCCTACCTGCATCATTCCATAGCCTCTATGCCTCGAGCACACGTGTGAGTGTGCAAGATGATCCCAGCCTTCATGGCGGCCGAAAACGCATAATCCCTCATGTGGAAGGAAACTGGCCAACACATCTTTACCTCGAATGTGCGTGCTGAGCGCTGGTGTAATGCCACTTGTACAAGGAGCTGACTTTGATAGGGTACCCGGGGAAAGACGAGCTATCGCTCCTTGCAGATGTCATCTCTCAGGCTGGATATGTGGCAAAGGAAAAGGCACCCGTAGTGCACAGTCTTCTCCACAGCGATCTCGGTGCTCAGCTACCCCTTCATATCAGCCTATCTCGGCCGGTGATTCTTCGCACCGAGCAACGTGCCTTGTTCACTGAGGCGCTAGAAAAGGCTATTCATGCCTCGCATGTTCTATCGTATGTGGCCAACTTACAATTCTTGATCATCCTCTAATAATTTGAATAGATTTCATGTCCAACCAGATACTTTATATTGGTCATCCAATTATGAAAAGACACGTTGGTTTCTCGTCTTGGGCGTGCGGAGACCGAGCTATGATGGTCTGAACCGCCTCCTGAAGCTGTCAAATGAGACTCTCGCTCGCTTCGGGCAGCCGCCACTTTATGCAACCTCTTCGACTCAAGGGCAACAGACCAGTGCATCCCTCCGTGATAGGAGCAGCAGTCAGGAGCGCGAGGATTTCTCGGGGTGCTTCCATATCTCACTTGCTTGGCGTCTGTCAGAGCCTAGTCCGAAGGAATGTGAACTGGTAGCCAAGATAGATTTGCAAACTTTGCGGGAGATCCAGGTTGGATTCGATTGTGTTAAAGCAAAGATTGGGAATATTGTCAGTAGCATACCATTAGGAAAAGGGATAAAATGAGGTTCTCTTCCAGTAAATTTGACGTTGTCTCTTCAAGAACATCCAAATTCGGAAATTATTACCTATGCATCTTGCTTCAGTGCTTCAGATCCTCTCTTAAATCATCGAAAGTGAGACAATGTCGTGGTGATAACTTCCCTGCCCATATTTACATACAACTTGGTATCTGTAATTACGGTAATATTACCCACATGATCGCGTCTTCCCGCGACAACTCCCTTCTTTCTCCATCAACACCACCATGCAGGTCCCAAGTGTAACTCTGGTAAGCTTCTGCATCATCTGTGATCAACTGTTTTCTAACCTCTCTTTCTTCTAGGATGACCTCCAAGCCTTCCAATCTAAGCACTTCCCTGGCCAACAGCTGGCTGTGTTTCCCCAAGAAAATGACCAGACCACAGACGACGATCTCGGATACTACCCAGACGGAGTGAAGCGTACGCTCACAGATGAGCAGATTCGGATCTTCAGACACAGTGAAGTTCATGCTCTTCTGCGAGCGAGGCAGCTCCAGAACGATGAGGCGCAATACCAATCTCGGATGCAGTCATCTCTAGATGATGGATCAAAGGGTAAACTAGAAACTGTACCTGAAAAGCGACCTCTAGACACAGAGTCTCAGATCCAAGGCGGTGATCAGAAGCGGCTGCAGTCACAGAAGGGGTCTAAGCAACATACTCCAGAAGACATGTCTTCTAAGCTGGACTACGGGGATGACTCGGATCAAACACAAATGTCAAAGCCACCAATGTCACAGACGCCATACCAAGGTCGCAGGATTATCTCCTACAATGACTGATCTCCAGGTTGAGTATCCGGAAGCCCCTATATTCAATCTAATGGACAAACCCGAATGCCTACGCTTCCCACTGCACTGACAAACCGGTAAGTTATCCACATTCTATTCCACTACACCCTTGCCCGTTCATGATGAATACATCGTATCATCCTTAGCCGGAAAGCCATACCATCTGCGGATGTGTGAGGCATTGACGACCTTAATCTTCTCTCTGAGGGCTTCTTCATACCTTTCAATCACATGCACATATGTTTATTTGCGATTCTAACGGCTTATCAGTTACGGTACTTTGGTGCTTTTGACAAAGAGTTTCACTTTTCGCATCCGTCCAAAGGACCGCCGGCCAACCACCCAGAACAATGCTCTCAACAGTCTCTTCCTATCATTGGATGTTCCGAGCGATATGACTACGAGACACATTTTTCTGGCCCTGGGGTTTAGATGGTTTGACACCCGCTTGGTCTCGACGATACCATCCAAAAAATGAGCGACTCGCCATCCTTGTCAGTCGATCAACTCACTGGTACACTGTACAGCTAACCTCGATCTGGAATTCGTGGTTGCCGACGGCGTAATCTTACCATCCTTTGAATGCGTGAAACCCTTGAATATCTGATCATCTGGCTTCGGGGGCTCTCTCTTTTGGTCTCTTTGATCGATTTCAGAACCGTCAGTGTCGTCACAAAATGAGCAAGCTTCATCATATGTGCTTACAGTGCCTTGAATTAGCAGACTGTTAGCAGTGAGCGTAACACGAGCCCCGATCTTCGGCTTATCTGATAATCAAGACCGACTTCAAAATGAAATTTTGACTGAGCTACCATCTTTCATGCAAATCCTACAACGTAATATTCTTAGCAGAGCGTGCTCGCAGCCATGGCCCCATCCCAGGGACAAACTATATTGTCACAGGCAGCCTCTCATCACTACTCGCTTCTCATCTCCACTCAGACGAACTTCGCAACTGAAAGGATCTGAAAATTCCATGCTGGATTCCCACATTCGATAATCGAACTGTTTAGAGACACCGAGGATCAAAACCAGGTGCCCCGATTGACCCCCAGCAGAGAAGACAAACCGAGCCTCGCTCTTTTCACTTCCCCAACCTTCTCAGGTGCCTGCAACACATACACCCTCCATATTTTACTCCTTCAGCAGTGCCACCTGGCTCCGTTCCACCTCGCAACAATAGAATCAACAAAGCGTTAACAGAAGATAAAATACGAATCACTATACCCATCAGCAGCAATCCTCTGCCCGCCAACAAGCACAGACTACCACGTCTGCGCAATTCCAACCCTGTTCCAAGCTTCAGCCCGGTCGGTATGCTCCCACGCAAGACTGCGGTTATATAACGCACATTTGGGAATCCATGCTTGGCTGAACTAAACCCGTAACCTATGTCTGCTTGATCGCCTGCGCGAGTTCAGCCTTATAACTGCTACAGGGTCAGAAACTAAAAACTATGTGTTATTATATTAGTTCACATCTATCTCCAAACACCATTGTAGTGTGTGGATGAAACAAGTATGCAAGGCAAAGCCAACTCAAGCAGCAACTCGAGATCGAAACAAGGTATCGAAAGTATCAAAACAGATGCCCCAGATGCAAAACCAGAACGCCCGAAACCCCTTCCCAGATACACTTTTATATAAACCAGGCTAACCCAACAGAAACGCATGCAGCTAAGCATTATTCCCACAAGAAAAGCTCTCACTGCTAGGGTTATCATGAAGAGCTTTGCCCGAGACCCAAAGACCAAGACCGCACAACGCAGCACCAACAGAAATAATAACGATATTCAACAAAGTGAGGGCAATCTTCCTCGGCGACGAGAACCACAGACCCTTGTTCATAAACAACCAAAAGATCCCACTCAAGCCATACGTAAACCAACTAGCAAAGAGCGCCGTGATCAAGCTGAGCAGGTTACTAAACACGGGAATCGCAGCGGAAATAATCCACGCCATGGTCCACAGCGCAAGCGCAATACCGACCCACGAGCCCGTAGCGACCCAGTCACGCTTGTGCATGCGGTCCGTACCCTGGAAAACACGCAAGTAGACATACTTGAACGCGACGTGGCCGTTGATGACACCGGCGATGATGATAGTCGGCAGCGAGATGCCGTACGCGATTTTCGCGACCATCGGCGAGGCGGAGCCCAGTGCTGGCGAAGTCACGTCGTCGCCGGCGTACCGGTAGATTACTAGCGCGGCGGTGATGTACAGGCCCATGTCGATGCCTTGCAGGAGACAGAGGGATTTTGTGAAGTCTTTTGGGTTCCTGAGCTCGGCCATTAGGCCGAAGAAGGCCGCGTGGCCGCAGAAGGCGAAGACGATGTTGCAGACAGCCGAGAAGCCGTGGTAGAGGTTTGTGTCGACGACTGCGACAACTCCCTGTCCGGGTGCTGTGATGCCGACGGCGATCATGACAATTATGACTGATGTCATGATGCTTACGAATGCTGGGGTTGTTAGTTGGGTTCTCAATGGGGTGTATGGAAACGTACAAACGATGGATAGCCATGACATCTTTTCCAGAGTGCGAGGTAACGAGCAGATGAATGAGATGACCATGCCAACGATGCCAAAGACGATGGAACAGGTGCCGTGGTTTGTGATGGTGTTCATGGCAACGGTGAAGGTCAACAGGTGGCTGGCCATGATAAAGATGAAGAACACGATCTGTGCAGCGCCGAGGAATTCCCGACCCCATTTCCCTGCTATAACCTCACCGGCGTCTGCAAACGTGCAGATGTGTGGATATCTCCATTTCATCTGACCGATCACATAGCCGGTGTATGTGGCCATTAAACCTAGGAAGACCAAGACGAGGATCGCGCTGGATATGATTAGCTTCAATTCCTGCACTTGAGGCAGAAGGTATGCTTACGGAAGTAGTCCCAGAGCTGCCACAGCGGCGGGCAGTGAGAGCACACCCAGTGATACCGTTTCAGCAACCATCACTAATAGAATGTTAGATTAGAGTTGGTTTGATATAGCATATTATCACATACGCAGACCACATTGCCTAACAAGATATACGTTAATAACAGAGCTAACACTTCGAGCTATGAAACATACCACCACCTGAGTACTTTGTACTTGACCTCCGCGAACTCCTCGTCGCCAAAGGCATCTTGTCTGACTTTCGGGACCTCAAACTTCTCCGGATCAGACATCAAGTCCGCGGGATTTATATAGGGACTCGTCTCATTGGAATCGAAATCCAATGCAGCATGCGAGGGGCTCATAGCGCAGATATCAAAACCAGCGAGTATACTCCGTGCCCGGGAAGTAGATATCAAGTCAGGAACCGAACAAAAAGCAGCGAACAAAAGCGAATCGCTTAATACAACAAATCCAACGAGAGAGAAAGGTCTAAAAGAGATGGAAATAGCATTAAAAACTCGAATTCACAGACAAAGCACCCGCCAAGTCAGTAAATCGAACAATAAAGAATCCGCCACGCGAAACTAATGTGGATCGCCGCCTGCGGACCGCGACGACGAATCACCTCGTCGAGACGTAATGGAAAACCCGAAAAGGACTTGGGCTGCTGGATTCGAATGAGAAATTACGCTGGTGAAAAATGGAGAAAATAAAATCTTCGCTCCGATGCCGGCCTCCTGTGCAGAGGTTGGACCTGGCTGTTCTACAAGAGTTCAGGTCTGGATGGTGAAAATTTCTATAGGAGGTCTAAATTAGAGGCGACTACTTTTGGCCGTGCAGATTTGGGGAACTCCATCTGATAAGCTTATTTCTGTCTGTCTACGGGGTAGCCTATAGGGATGAACTTGCACGATGTCGTGCTCACGTCTTTTGCCCTAAATTGCACGACGCGTTCGGATATAGATCGGGTCGGAGTTGGTCGCTAGTTCCGGTTTCTTTTGATGAACCCCACGATCTTATAAGGATATCTAGGTCAAATATTCTTGTTTTCATTGGATATAGCTATGCTTTCATGGGTTTCTCATATAAGCTCGCATCTAACTTCTTCATCAGTTCCAACTCTATCGACACATCCCATAACAAAAAGTTGATCTCAACGCATATCCCAAGGCCGCTTTGAAATTCCGATGCGAGGGCTTTGTATGAGCCAGAAGTAACAGTGACGTCGCAAGAGAGAACCCCCTAGCACGTAGTCCTGGCCGTAGACAGGCACAAAAGGTAAGCCGAGCGCCCAGGGTGCCTTCTTCATGGTTGCAATCTACCATGTAGTCAATTTTGTCTATGCCGTTCCAGTTCAACCAGTAGTGCTTCTCTTCAGATGGCATATATAGCAGCCTCACAAGACCCCAGCAGATGAATAAAGCCACTTTCAACGGCTTTATTTTCTCTTCGAGCTTCGGATGACACCGAGCCTCCACAGGGAGACGCTTGCGTGTTCCTTGTCGATGTCGTTGATTGCTACCTCTAAGGCACAGGAAACAACGAATAGTTGTATCTGTTCACCCTGTGAGATGTAGGTGGACCGACTCGCTAGCTGTGGGGTGTTTTCGCTTGCGACTGGGCTTGCTTTTGACCTGGACATGGTGCTGGGAGAGTCGTCTTTAGTCAAACTCCTGTGCGCGGGATTGAATAGGACTTGTCATGAACATTCTCCGGTGGTTGAATATCATATTCACCTCATTAGATTGCCTAGGTAAGAACAAGGGAAAGGGATGATGAGCTGTGATTCGGAAGTCATGACTTGGCTAGACTCACCATTGTTGTCTGCTGAGATTTCTGATATTGAGTCCTTTTCAGGTTGTTGGATTCGATCATATGTGCTCTGCGATTCACTTTGGTTGCTAGCGCAATGCTCGTATTCACTCTCTGAGTCTGGCGAGATGCGCACATCACAGCGTGGTATAGCGAGGAAGAAGTAAGATATAAGAAGTGTGATATATAAGGAAGACAGATATAGGGAAGACAGATATAGGGAAAGTTGAGAGATAGATGATCTAGGGAGAAAGTATCTGGCTATATAGCGAGAAGTTGTTTGTCAAAGACAACAAACTCATGTGACACTTGTTTAGGGAAGGTGCAATGGAGAGTGCCACGCTTTAGGAAGGCACATGGGTTGGGGTATAAAAGGAGCCCTCCCCCCATGTTTCCTCTTCTCTTTTTCTTCTCTCCTCCCCATCCCTCTGACCACCATCTCACCGTAGCCCCCCGAGACAGCGCAGGCAGAGGGTGCCGTAGCACATGCTGCTTCACCTACCACAGGGACCATGACATTACCATATGCATGAGGTCCATGTAGGTCTGCATCAAACAACAAACCGGTCTTTCTCGTGGACGTTCCTGAAGTCGTGGCTCTCATTGCCACTCGACGAGTCCTACGGAATACATGAGGGGTGTAAATCTTCGTAGCCGAGTTCCTCACATCTGAGGTTCTCTTTGTCAACTGCATCAATATCAGGCAACTCACTGCTCATTTGCTTTTCATTCAATCTTACTCATATTCATTTGAACAAGCTGCTTCTACGGCACTCGTTCGAGTCCAGCACTATGGCATCTGACGTGTCGAAACTCCTGCCTCGCTGAGCTTGTCGTCCAAATTCCCTAGAAGAGTCTACCAAACATGCTGAAGAGTCAGGATCACCTCCTGCCTGGGATCTCAAGGACTGGCTACAAGTGGCTACACCAAGTCATGTCTCCTCATCGGACTACACAATCAATTCTTCATCTCCTTCAACGCTGGACATGGAATGATCTCTACAAATTGTCATTAAACCCATGTACACACACTGGTAACACCGATTCCAGATATCACATCCATCCAATCGTCAAGATTGACCATGAATTAACTAATGCACCTGTACATAAATGAAATATGGACCATATGAAGTTAGCCAGACCTATCCAGGAATGAATCCCACCCATCCATCCACCACCACCAACGCCAGGACTTTCCAGTCCGAAAATAACAAGAAAGCAAAACGAAAAACACCATGCTAGTAAAAATGCTATACAACAAAAAATGTACAAAAAGAAAACCATATGTTTCATGCACCATATCATCCCAAACTCCGCCGTTTAAGTCTCCGCCTCTTCCGCTGCGACTGCTGGATAGAATCCTCGTTCAGGATATCCGGCGGCAGCTCGAAGTCCTGTTCGCCCAGGTCAGGGACTGGATATCCGAATGCGAGGGTTGAGCGGGACCCGCCGCGGCGGGTGCCTTTTGTTGCGGCGATGGCTGCTTCGCGCACGTGTCGTTGGCGGAAGAAGGATGTGAATGGGCTGTCTTGGGGAGCTGAGTTCCAGAAATGGGAGAGGGAGGGTTGTTGGAGTCGTGTGGGTTTTTGGGTTGGGGTTGGGGTTGGGGCTGGGGCTGGGTGAGGTTTGGTGGGTGTTGGGTTGGGTTTTTTGCGTTTGGGGCTGGGGTTTGGTTCGGAGTTGTTGATGTTGGTGTTGGTGTTGGGAGGAGGTTTGGTGATAGACTTGCGAGTAGCGGGTGCTGTCTTGCGCCGTTTGGCAGCGCTCGCTGAGCGAGCTTCTTGATGAAGCTGACGCGCAGCCAAGGCGTCGACGTCGCTCGGGTCTGGGTCTGGCTCTGCGTCTGCGTCCGGCGTGCTGGTCCCCGGGGCCGGTGAGCTGTCCACGGGACGAGATCGTTTGCGCAAGTGCTGTTGTGAGGCATTGGGTGTTGCCTCGGTACCTGGCGCCGGGAGTGCCTTTTCCCTTTCCAGTTTGCGACGGCGCTCTTCGTCTTTCCATGCTTGGAACTTGTTGACCAGAGTGACTAGCTCCTGGATTAGGATATCGCGCTTCGGCTCGTAGAGCTTCTTGTCGCTTTCGTGGACTCCCGTCAGGCCCATCATGCGTAGCCAGTCCTGGCCGCGTAGCTCGTCCAGGAGACGCTCTAGGACTTGCTGTTCGTGTTGGGCGCGGTTGCGCTCGATGTTGCGGAGTTGTTTCTCTTGTCGTTCGAACTTGCGGTGTGCACGGAAATAGGTCTCCTCGCTCAGCGGGTCGACTGCGGGTGTGTCTGATGCGGGTTTGGGATGTTTGAGGAGGATCTTTTCGCAGTCGTAGAGCTTGAGTAGCGGGTTGCCGAAGGGTGTAGGCTCCGGGTTGGAGCAGAAAGGTAGTGGTCGCGCGAGGTCGTCCACGAGAGTAATGGTTGTTTTAGCGGCGAGGAATTCTATAGTAACCAATATCAGCCATGCGCTCGATCCGTTCAGGTCGAGTAACTTACCAGGTTCAGGGACATCCAAGCTGATAATCTGTTCGTAGTTGTGGAAGTACTGCGCGAGCTCGCTCTTGCACCGTGACCCGGTATTGGTCGAACGCAACGACCGTCTCTCCGACCGTGTATCCGATGCAGGCTCGCCGTCGCTCCTGTCCCGCGTCGGGGGCACCCCTACGGCACCCTCTGCCTTGATCGCACTCTCGTCAACGTCATCCAGCGATTGATTATCATTCCGCTGAGTCGTGCGGGCAGGCGAAACCGTTGGCTTGCTATTCGCGTCCACAATCGCCGGGGTCAGGGTGCGCTGCTTCGCGACCGACGGGGCAGGCGAGATCGTGTCCAATGGGTCTGGCGACTCATGCACGCCGCGCAAAAAAACAGCGCCGGAGGGCGTTCCCTGATCGCGGCGGGCGCGTGGGGTCCTGTAAATGCCATTGCCATTCCCATTTGCACATGTCGGGGTCGCCAATTGCCCGGAGGCGACCGTGTCCACCGACAGAGAGGAGTTGCGACGAGTGCGATTGGAGGTGCGCGGGCGCGAGGGCTTCAAGGGGTTGGAACGGGGTCTTGCGATGGGATCTTTGATGTCGAGACAGTCGGGGGAGCTCTTACGGTCGGAGCCATTTGGGATGCGCGATTTCTTCAGACCGTCGGCAGGATCGGGGGCCCGTCGCACAGAGCGGAGGGAAGACCGCGACAGGAGGGCCATTTTGGATGAAGATCAGTTCATTTGCATTCAGGGGGAGTCCCCCGAGGGTTTACAGGGATTTAGGGATGAAATATGGGCATGCGAGAAGTTCTTGGCGAATGCCGATGGAGGTTGTCAAGGTGGTTTATATGGACTTCCTGGCGTCAACGATATATTGATTCTGATTCTATTCAGAGATAGACAATGCATTGTATTCGTTCTATTGTTCTATTCAGAATTAATTAATTCAGCTATTCGGAGATATATAAAATGGCACTTGCAATGGGTATCTACATAGGTAAACTTCACTCTTCCTACAGGTATTATCCTGAGATAGGTTCATTGTTAATTATCTCTATCTTCAATGTAAAATAGTCAACTATTCA